CACAAATGGGCCAATTAGGGCTCTGAGGGTTCCATTTTGACGGCATTCTTCGGTAAAGAAGAGACAAGCCGTTGAAAATGGGCTCGCTCCTGAGGAGCACTGTTCCAACTTGCCAGTCTCGTTTGATCTGAATCAAAGCATGCCTCAGGGTCCATAATATTCGACGGAAAATTTCCTGAAATTTCCGATGTGCGACGATCAGTGGCGGCGCAACTTTTTTCTAGGGGGGGGGAGTTGCAATGTACCTCCATCGGTTGGTAGACCTGTAAAATGGGGGGGGGGCCAAAATAATTACCTTTTCAAAAGTGGGGGGGGGCAACCGGGCAATTCGAATCCGATCCCAACCGGCAAACTTATATGTAAATAAGAACTTGGTAAAGTTCATTGTGTGAGTCACTGACCTTATGCATAATGCATAACACCTAATGCATAAATTGTCATTGGTGTTAGGGCTATAGAACTTTCCACTAATAAATTCATATTATGCACAAATGGCCTTGGCGGCAAGGGCAATTGACGTCTTTGAACAGTAATCCGAATTTGACAGAAATACGTTCAATCCGATCCGATTCAACCCGAGGTCAGAGTCGCATCGGATTTGCATTGGAAGTGGTCATCATTTATGTCCGCGATGCATGCTCACATCAGGCCTATTTCACCTATAACCCTAACGTTGTCACTGATAAAAGGTACTGTAAGCAATAACATCTTCATTAATGGACAGGGGTCGACAGAAATTTTTTTCCGATTGTATCCTCCCATCTCTTCACTATAGACTATTATAATTTTGTATGTACATGTATTTACAGCAAATCTCCAAATACAAATTCACACAAAATTAATTACAAGCTTCTGGGGTCTGCAATGCTGTGAGTTGGTGACCCTGCGTCAGAAGGAAATCAATATATAGAGGATGAAGATGTTGAGATGAAGAAGTTTCCTGGTGCTTTATATTGTTGTGACAGGTGTTGATAGGGCCACAAATCAGCGGAGATGAGTAGTGATGTGACCCCCCCCCCCAATCCTTAGCTTCAAATCCCGTCGATGCCGTTTCTAGTTCATACCAGGTGCGTCTTTGGTTTCACACTAATGGTGCAGTGTACCCACTGTTCATTGACATGCAGTTCAAGAGATCTGATTTCGCGAAAATAAAGTCAAAAATTCAATAAAACGTTTACATTTTTAAAGCATTCTGGGCGACTTACATTTATACCTACCTTGCACATTTGATGATAAAATTTTACCTTATATGTGTTTCATGACTCAGATTTTAATGACGTCATCGTTACGTTGCAAATTTTCTGTTAAAGACACATCTACTTGGATTATCAGAGGTCTTGCAAAGAATTGTGAAAATGACACTGCTTCATTTAGATTATAGAATGAATAGTCTGATCAAAGAAAATAAAAAAGCACGTAATGACGTCATCATGGCGTTTTAAGTATACGCACACCTTGTTTATGTCACGTTTTAAGTTTAAGTCGTAGAGATTTATAATTGGATACAAAAAAAGATGATACGAAATCACTAAAGTAACTCGTGGTAACAAATTACTTATTCGTAATAATGAATATTGGTATCCCACTGATTTTTTTTCTGTGGCACGATTGGGCTTTCGTAAGATGACGACAAACAAGGAGAAAGAAGTACAGAATCAATAGGTGATGGGGAGAGATCTAATTAAGAAGCAAAGACGGAAACGGAAACCATTAGGTCATCAATCACCATCGAACCGTGATCGAACAGACAAGCTAGCAATCACTCATCAATCCAACAAGACTAATTCAACAATGCCACAGGTTATCAGTCCCCAGAATAAACAACTTTATAACTTCGACGAGTGTTGCTAAACCATAACCAGACCATCAGTCCGTTGTGTTCCATCATGGCTTTCGGAATAAATGAGTTGTAACTTGTGGTTCCGATCCAAGGAACTCATTGCCTGTAATTCATGTCAATACATTCATCAACTCTCAGTGGACGAAATAAGAGTAACCCGGGGCTGTTAATCAATAACATAAAATAATATCAAAGTTGCTGCAAACTGTTTACTGACTGGAGTGACCTCACATAAATAGGGCCTACAAAGCTTCAAGTTACAAGGCCTCGCTTGTCGATCCTCGCGAAAATCGCCCTAAGAGGATTAATGACTAGAGAGATGTAACGAGCTGGAAGCACACAAGCACGGGTGAATGCAGAATGACAAGGGGCACAGGCGCCCGGCCGGCACGGCGCTGCAGGGACTTCGGAAACGCGGAGCTATGGGTGCAGACCACTAATTCAAGTGAGAATTTCTGGCCAGCTCATTAGCATTAAAAGTGCGCCCCACAGTATCTTTTGAAAAAGGAGATTGTTTGGCCCCAAAAATGACGAGATTGTGTAAATCGTTGCCGGGATCAACTCCCTGGGTCTTTGAGCTTTCATATGAGGGCAGAAGGGCTAAAAACTACAGTTGAAAAATGGTCCTAAGTGCCCGAGAAAGTTGAGGGTTGCCACTTGCAAAATGACTGCAAGCAGACTTCGGAAAAATCACTTTTCGGGGGGGGGTTGGAGTTTGATTTGTGAGAAATGTAATTGGTTAACTCACCAAAAACAAAAAACCACAAAAAAAGAACAAAAGAAAGATTAGGAACCAGGCAATAGTTTTATTTGTGTTTCAGAAATTTCAGGGATGTTGGTATCCATGTTATCGGGCCCTGAACAATGCTGATTT